GAAACAAGTGCCTCGCTAGTAGTAACAGGTGCCTTACTAGTAGTAACAAGTGCCACGCTATTAGAAACAAGTGCCTCGCTACTAGGAACGTGTCACGGAGTCTCACGGGTCCACCCTTCCTGTCCACCCGTCCCGTCGTCTCCGCTAGGACTTGGCGTTGGACGCCTGGGTGGAACAGGCCGGGTGACCGGTGGGTGGAGAGGTGAGGATCATGTCACCACATGTCTTGTGCACTGAGTATGCGGATGAGATGATGCCTTTAAATAGACTCTCCGTACCTTAGAAAATGGGACATGACATGACCCTAGACTTCCCATTTTCCGAGGTATTTAAGACTCCGGGCGATAGTATAACAATATGATTATAGGGCAGTTTGGGTAATTTTCCCTCTGGACGTGACACCGATCTTGCTGCGATCAGGTCAGCCGTGCGAGTCAGAAGGGTGAGGCTTCAACCATCGCTGAGTCGCGAGCTGAGCTGGCGAGTCGCTGTGCACGGTGGCTCTGGACCACGTTTTACAGGTGTTGTGTGAAGGCATTTATATAAAGACATGATAGAACAGGTGCCACGCTAATAGTAACAGGTCCCTCGGATATTGTCCGAGCTTGAGGAGTTGTGTGTATCATCAGATCCTAATCCGAGACGAAACGCCGAGGTTTTCCGACACTTACAGACTATATCGAGTCATGCTTTATCCATCAAATAAACATGTTCGCAAAGATTCTGTGATGAAATTAGCGCAATTGTTGGCCGTCGCGATCTTCCCAGGCTGCGAAAGATGGCGAAGTTCTTTTCCCATCACAGTGACGATCCCAGACTCGGTCGTCTACGACCGCAATCGTGGTGGTTTTCAAGCGGATCAGTTCTATGCTTCTCTTTGTCCCTCGGAACCACCCATGACCTAGCTGCATATAGCTCACGTACGAGTGGTTCCGAGGGACGGCGATCGACTGTTTACTTCGTCGATCGCAGCATGGACACCTCAGGCCATGGACCTTTTGCTGCATGCAGTGGAAGTTGGGTGGGAGCAGATGAGTTCCATTGTGAGAGGTACTACCAGGACCGCTGAATTTTCCTGTGACGAGGCTTCTCGAGCTACGGTCGCCTACCGGTGGTGATTGATCATTCATGATTGATCAGCCTCTGAAGAGGGGCTCCCAAGAAGGGGGTGCACACATGCTGCAGCATCGCTATAGAATGATAAGCCAAACAGGCATCGATTCATGCTACCCTTCCACTCTGAATCGATGTGCTAAACCGCGCCGCTCTTGAGAAAAAGCTGGCTCTTGACATGTCCGGACATCGGCAACTCGCCCCTGGCAGCTCGCAGCGGTCTCCGGAGTTCGCCCCGGTCTCCGCTTCTCCAGGACTGGGGACAGGTGAATGTGGAACCTGAACGAAGCGCATCAGCTTTGCTGGTTCACACGGAGACCTTCTTGGTGAGCTTTGACATGACAAAGCCACGCTCTCAGCTGTTCAACCGCATGGGGCGGCTTAAGCTGTTCTCCCTGGGAGGCCTGGCTTGTAACGGTCACCCAAAGGGAGAGTTGACTGATAAACATTTGACTTTCTGCACAGTTGGAAGATCTAGGTGTGACAGACACAGATGCTTGTGGTTTGACCGAAAGTCCGGTGAAAGAAGCAGAAATGGCCTGGAACAGGGTTGAAACATGGATGACGGCTTCACTACCGATTTTGGAATGTTTTGGATGTGTTTCTCCAAACTACCGGGTGGAGACGTCCGTTAAAACCCCCAAAAGAACCAATGTGGAGGTTGTGCTTAGCGGTAAGTCTCCGCTTAAACTGAGGCCGTTTAAGGTCAAGGCCATCATCTCATTGCTGAGCAATTTGTTCACGGTGGAAACCTCAGACGTTGCTGAGAATGGTTTCATTCAGTTGCTGCTGCATGTGTCTTTTTTCCCCTGGAATCTGGGGCCTCCATTGCAAGAAGGAAGAACACGGAAGCTGTACTAGATGGTCTTTTTATTCCATGGACAATCTATTTGCTTCCTTGCTCATCCGAATGATTGATTGGTGATTGGTGGAAGTATGGGCTCTGTATCTTCCCCAAATATGGTCACTTGAGTGACTTGAGTGTTAAACATCGGCCTCCGTCCTCCCCTCCCCCCCAGCGAAGTGGCAAGTCTTGATGTTCCTTTTCTGACCTCGGCGACCGTTCAACGTCAGCATAAACCACCTAAGTCGGGCTAAGTCAGGCGTGATTTCATCACCTGGCCGCTTCTTCCAAAAAGAAACTCTCCCAAAAGGAGCGTGAGTCACCGACCATAAATCTTGGCGTTCATTCTCTTTCATCCAAACTCGCCAACCCAAACACCATATCACCATTCCCTCACGTCTGTCCACCGTCGGTCGACGGTCTTCAGTCGACTCCAGAGTCTAGACAAGGTGGTGGTGATGCTCTTCTTCGGGGTCGCCCTCTCACAAGTCGTGACCGATTTGGCGGTCACGCCACTGGAGCGCATGCTCGGGAGACCCGCCCGACCGCGTCGCGCGCGGCGGTCTGGGGGTGAAGAGCGGGCCAAAGGGGAAAACCTTTCTGAGATCTTAAGGGCACTATGTCTTTTTGGGGGAGGGTAAGGAGACCTGAATCCTGCAGACCTTCGCAAGTGTCAACAAGATGTTCCAAGAGGTGTCTCTAAATCGCCGATAGCCTCTTAGAGGTGACTCAAGGTGTCCAAAAAGCCGGTGTATGAAAACACCAGACAGCGAACTGGTGATGAGCACCAGACAGCACAGAGTTCGAGGTGTGCAACACTGATCAGTTGGATGACAGCATCCTCTACCTGCCGTCACCACATGCCGACCCTTCGTCACGGACCCTGTGACTCCTCTTGAGTCGACGGACCGTCAGGACCGTGAGAGAAATCGCCGCCACCGTCTTCAAGTTCAGTCGCTGGGCCCGATGAGAACGGTGTCTGAAGTCATGTGGGTCCTCACGGTGGGTCGGAAGAAACGAAACTGCAGTTCGGGGAGGATCTAGGAGGTTGGATGATTCTGCTTCTTTGGCTGTTTCCCATCTCCAACCACTCAACACCGCGGATGTCTCACAAAATGGATGTCCAAATCTTCCTTCACGTCCCCAGGCAGCAAGCTTCACAGTCACATGTGATCATGTCAAGCTTCTCATTCTCCATCTTCGGCTCCATGAGGTTCGCTGATGGTCGGACAAGAGGAGGAGGAAGGTGTGGTGCTTTCGCGTGCGGGCTCGCCGTGCTCTTTGCGCGCTCTTCTGCGTCCGGTTTTGGTGGTTTTCCCGTGGGGAGTGACCCCAAGAAATGCTCTCATATTCGGTGCACCCCGGGCTTCTGGTCAGTTATATAATTTGTATCTTTCTGTTGTGGGTCCAACATGGTCTAACAGTTACTCCGGTTGAGAACCCTTTAGCCAATGGCCCAGTTTTGTTCATAGACCAAACAGGCCAGAATGTTCATCGGGCTAAATCCAGCCTGGCCAGGGGGGGTCCTCAAAGCGCATTGTCCCCACTTTCAGAACTTAGTGTCCACCGGTCACTGGTGAGGTGGTCATGTGAAAACACACATGAAATGCTCCGACCATTTTGCGTTACATTCATCTATGCCAGGGGTGCTAAAGAACCCTGGCAAACGATCATGAAGGGACTCACCAAAGAATCCTCATACCATAACTCTATATCTCTATCTCAAAGTTCCACAACATTGGGAAACGCCAGGGGACTCACACAGTCTCGAGTGCAGACATGACTTCTGGACCAAAGCCTCTGGGTCTCTTCCAGGAAACAAATTGAGTTGTTCCAAGATGGCTTGTTTGAGATCCTACAAGTGGTTCAAGCTAGCTTTCCAGCTTGGTCTCCAAAAACATCTCACCCCATTGATTGCGCCGTCGTGCGGCGCGTTTTGGGTGGATTTTCGAGGTCAAGAGGGTCGCTTGGAAGATTCTGCGGAGATCGACAACGCGGGCGAGATGATCCTCTTGGAGAAGGCCCGCCGGTGATTCTGGGCGACCCCCGTCCTCACTCCCCCCTACCTGGCCTGGGAGGTCTCAATGCGGTAAACCATTTTTTCCGCCTTAGAGGCGGGGCTGAGCGAAGTGATCCCATGGGGCAGTGGATGTTTGGAGAAAGACGACTTGGTGGGATCGCTGGGCGTTTGAGTCTTAGAGGTCGTTTAAGCATGCTTGATACTTTCTTCGGTGAGGCTTAAGGTTTCAAGCGAAGCTTCCTTGAGCCATGGCCAAAGCGGCTTTAACGGCAAAGTTACAAGAGATCCAGAAGGTGAAGGAGGATCTCTTGAAGGAAGCAAAGGATGAAACTGAAAATGGAACTGGCACTGCAGTCTTTCCACAGGCCAGCGGTCTTTCGGATGACTGCCTGGTGAAATTTGCCGATGGGAAAGAGATTAAGGTGATCGTGGGCACCTCCGAGCATATTCAGCAGCCACTGGTGGATCGAATTTGCCACGTGGTTCATGAAGCCTACTCCAAGGTCGGCAAGCACAAGCGTGTGGACAGGTATGACGCAGTGGACCGTTTCATTGGCTGCATTTCAGACACTTAAACAACCATTCTTAGATGTATTTCACCCTCTTCATCCAATATATACATCCCAGACGCTCCATGTATGGCATATTTACCTACATTGGGGTGGTTTTAGGGGTCAATGTATGTAAATATGCCAGTCCCATAGAGTGTCTGGGCATAGTATAGAGGCAGGCGATTGTCGGATGCTGTGGCGCAGGTCGTACTGTCTCGACGTTGTGGGCCTTTGTGGGCCATGGCTACCTCGAAAAAGAAGCAGCAGATCTTCGTGTGTTCTCACCATTGGTCCCTGAAAGTATCATGACAGTATCCGTGTGGGTTTCATCATTATGCAAGTATTGAGAGTAGCTTAGCTTTTCATCATGCTGGGGGTTCTTTCTTGGGTCGCGGTGCTCCTTGTCTTTTCTTCCATTGCGGTGCTCCGCGGTGTCCTCCTGCTCCCGTCTCCAGCCGCCGTCTCCGAGGTTTGGAGATGGGCGACGGGGGACCGTCGGCGAATCGGGTCTTGCACTTGGCCTTCAAAGGAGACGAGTTGGTGGGCTGCGCCAGCTCAACCTTCAGTCCTGGTTGGACACCCGAGGCGTGCAAGACGGAGATGGATTGGTTTTCAAGGTTTTTCGAACGGAAATCCTCAAAACTGCTGGGACAATGTTGGGAAACTTCGATTTGAGAAAAAAAAAACATCATTGTCGGATGATTCAAAAGGGGTATACTTGGCAGTACTTTTTAGGCAAACTCATATATACAGCCCGGCTGACCAACGTCTTTGAATCTGTTGGAACCTATCGGGGTTTCCCTCAATCGCACCCCATCTCACATCCAGTCCATTCCATTCCACTTTATGTCATCACATTCCCATGTTCCATTCTCCATTTCCTTTGATACTTTCCTCACTAAGCAAACCCACCTGCCATGGCACCCACTTCGAAACCCACCCCCACCCTTCCACCTCAATCCATCCACCCTCCCACCAACCAACCGACCGGTACCCCACCAACCCACCGAGACCGACCCCGACCGGGAGGGTTGTGGCCACTGGGGCCTTCTGGCCGTGGATCCCGCGCATCAAAAGTCCGGCGTCGCCACGGCGCTGGTGCTGGCGGCGGAGCGGCGCCTGGCCACGCTGAGTGGAGCCATTCAGATTGAATACCAGTATACGGAGGGGGATCCCTTCTCTATGAGGCATGGGTGAGTGCATGGGCATGAAGTCTTTAAGCATGTGTTGTTTAAACAATGTTTAAAGCAATTTTAGTTTTAGTGATGTTGTTTTCTGACATGATTGATTTTTGATATGGATAGAGCATGATAGAGCAGTAGAACATAAGGACCGAACACTTCTTCAATCAGTTCGGGAGTTCCATAATTTGTTGGATTTATCATTTCAGTATATTTCAGTCAGAATTTTGGTCAGGGTCTCCAAGCTGTTTGCTGAAACGGAAGGGATCATCAGCCAGGGTAGTGACATGGCGCAAGAAAATCATGCTGAATATATTACGTGTGCGATGCATTTTTCCTCTTGTACTTCCTGGTTGCTTCTTTTGTTTCAGGCTTCATAAATGGTACGAGAAGCTTGGTTTTGCCGGAGATCAAACTGCATTGAAGCCCGGGCAAACAATCTTCAGAAGATGCAGAAAGCGTGACTCAGCTCACTCTGCCACCAAACTTCGCTGAGACCAGCTCCAACGACATGTTGAAAAAAGGGCTCAAAAGGTAAAACCTCAGAGACCGGGTCTCCCCACAAAAAAACACACACACCCATGCAGGATCAATCCATCCTTGGCACGTGGAGACCTGTTTGACCTTGTCTTTGACCCTTCTGACCTCAAGGAACACCTCGACTCCAAGAGACCCAATGTGTTGGACGTCCGCTCTGCAGACGTCCGGCGCCTCGGCGGCGCGGTGGAAACCGCGTGTCCGGCTGAGGCATTTCCGCCGCCGAGCAGGAGCGGGGGCAGCTGCGTCGCTTGCAGGAGAGCGAACGAAGTGACGGGTCGGGGCTTTGGAGCACTTGAGTGCCCAAAAGATTGGAGCATTTGGTACTTCAAAGCCCATGGTAAAGTGGTCAGCACTGGATCTGATTTGGACGAACACTTTGGTATATAGGACGGACAGTAGGACGGAACATACACTTTGGGGATCATGTTGTTACGCTTGACACATGTATTATATATAGAAATTTTAATATAAGAGTTGACGCTCAAGCGGCGTTTGAAATTCGGGTCGTTGGCTTCTTGGTTTCACTTGGCTTCCATCTATTTGTTCCCTTTGCGAGGAGATCGAGATCTACTTGCAGAGGAGGCGGACCTGGGTGGGTTTTCCAGAATCAGACCCCCAAACCAGTCTGGATGCGTTCCATCTCCAACACCAAGCCACCACTTGACATGTAGCCCTGGTATGCCTCGGTCGACCGAATCGCCTCTCAACGTTCCAGGTTGACCACGCTCAGCTCGGAGCACGAGGACCAGAGCCCCGAGGAGGTCGAGCACGAGCAGAGCTCGGCGGAGAGCGACGAGCCGATGGAGGAGTCCACGGTGTCCGCGCGCCTCGCGGAGGTCGAGGCGCCGCTGCTTTGGTTCGTGGGACGTGGCGGGGTCCGGGACCGTTCGCTCGCCAGGCCGCCAGGCAAGGTGCACAGTGTCAGGTGCTTAGAGGAGGAACAGCGATAACTGTGATGGATTTTTCTGTTTCCTTTCGCTCCTCATTCGCAAATGCGTTTCTGGAAACGAAGCTTCGTTGGCCATTCACAACTTGTGATGCCAAGGCGAAGCTCGAGGAGGTTACCCTGTCAGGGCCGCGTGAGGCAGAACCCATTCTCAGCAGCAGGGCTGGGGCTTTGCCGGCTTCGCCCCTTATTTTCACCGCTGAAACGCCTTGCTTATGTCAAGGTGGCTCAATAAAGTCCAGGTAGGGTAGATGCGCACATGACGCGGAAGAATGCTTCGATGATATATGTACTGTTCATTCTGTTGATTTGATGCCTTTCTGGCTGGGATTGAGGGCCACTTTGTTCAATCTCAAGGTGCTTGAGCTGGTGGAGGGGCCACCATGAAAGCCCTACTTGGCCGCTTTTTCCAATGCTGCTGGTCGAATTCTGTGCCCACGCTGGGCCTTTGCCAACAGCGCACCTAGAGAAACGCACCCGGATGTTTAAACCGTGAGTCCGGGAGAGGGGTGCCATTGCATGGAGTTTTCGGCCCGCGAAAGCTGGTCAATTTCTGATTGTGCATAGCCTGAAAACTCTGTCCCAGTCGCCCATGATTTGAGCGAAAGACGTGTCGGAACCACTCTGTACCTTCGGTGGAAGTGTCGGAACCTGTTTTTGTTCTCCCTTCGTCTTGGTTCGATTCAGTACGTTTGAGCTTTGAGGCACAGGACTGTCCTGGTTGTACCGTCCGTTGGGCAAGTCGAGCATATCTCACATGTAGCATATACAGAACATGGATGAACATGGAACGGCCATAAACAGCATAATAAGCATAATAAGCAAATTGAAGGTGTTTGGCCCTCTTGAACAAGGTGCCTTTTTTCAACCTGGCACCGTTGAACAAGTTGATGGTCATTTGTTTCCGTCAAATCGTTGGACCATCCATCTCCATCCAACTTTTGGAGAGTCACATGGCATCGCATAGTCCAACCGAATGGCAAAAGATCAACCTGGATCTTCCAACTATATATGCTGCAATGTTTGCCTTTTCATCCATAAAATTTCCTGCAAGCCTTTGGCAGGTATTGATTGCCCATATCAATGATCTTCCTATACACCACGAACACTCATGGGCTGAAGCAGTTCCCAGGTTTTTCGGACAGTTCGCGTAAAATCCTTCGAATGATCCTGAATCCAAGGTGACTTCCTAGGTGTAACGTCACCATCTTGCAGACTGAGGTGTAACGGCAGACCGGTCACAGCTCGAGATCCGACTCGTCCCTCCTTCGCCTAGGTGGTCGAGAAGCTGGCGGCCATTGCCTCGGTGCAGGCCCAATCCGAGCGCATCCAACGAACCGAGGCGCGGTGGACGTTCGAAACCCGCGAGCTCCGGTGGGCGTTCGAAACCTGCGGGGTGGGTGGGTCTAGCGGCTCTGCTGGGGTGCCATGGCATGTTTTGTGTTTTTTCAAGGAGGATCAAGGAGGGTGTTTTGTTTGGTTTTCCAAGAGGAGATAGATTTTTCTGAGTATTGGTCATGTATTGGTGTTTGATTCCTCACTGGGTTTTACATGTTTGGGAGTGACGGACGCTATGAACTTTTTGTTCTCTCCCTTTGAGTCGTCTTTGTTCACAGATCTCACATCTTATAAGCTGGCAAATCCAATCAACCCATATCAATCCCTCATGGACAGACAGGGTTAGATATGGACAGAGATCCCTGTCTCATCCTGTCTCAGCGACGGACCACTTTTCAAGGGGCAGAACTTCGGCAAAACACGACGTCACCCCGCGAACGAAGTTCGACAGATGCTCAACGACTGACCCGACGATAAAAATCCGCACCGCGAACAAACGCCTGCATACGCCTTCCTTCGACCTGTGCGAAGGACATGGACAAAGAAGACCTGGGCGTGTTGAGCATGCTGCAGGGTACCAAAGAACTCCGACCCAGCAACTGCACGTCCACCTCCGAGGAGGGACGTGACGTTTCTTTGCACGTGTTTGCACACTGAATTGGGAATAATTGCAGATTGACGTGGAAAAGGTTTGAATTCTTTTTCTGGTGCGGAAAAGGCACAGAAAAGTGCCTATAGCAACCTTGGCCACGAACACACCAGCAACAAAAACAACAAGAAAACCCTCTCACAGCTGTTGCCACGACTCCAGGTTACCTGGTGTGCTTCATGATGTCAAAATATGTTCAAGTCATTGGTTGTGCACATTTGGATACATGGACATGGGGGGAACAGTGCCAGGCCACCCTGCGCCATGTGATGCCATGTGTGGAAATTGGATTTCTATGAGGAATTCAGATACTCTTGCCTTTAACATGATGAATTTGCCATGACTCTTGTCATGGTCCTTGTCCACGCTCGGCCAGTGGTCCGACTTCATGGTCCGAGCATTTGTGCTCCGTGGGAGCTCCGTTCGCTTCGCGTCCTCGTCGTAGCGTCCTCGTCGGGCCAGGAGCCCCGTTTCGGCCGGGCCGTCGCGTCCTTGTAGCAAATGCTCCGTTGCTTTTCGATCTTTGTTTTCAGCAGGAGAAGCAACAGGAGATTTACGTGAGGCGCGGAGGGGCCAGGATGCGCCAGGATGTGCCAGATGCTAGGTATGTGGTTGGTAGATGTTGGTAGAGGAGCTGTGCTCAGTTGATGCTATTTTGTTCATCCCGGAAGTATAGAAACCAAAGATAGAGTGAAAACACCCAATAGGAGCCTTTTTCGATACCCAACCTCAGAGGTCACCTTGCGTCTCGGTTTTTGCGGCCTCTTCACAGGTCAATGAAATAAAACTAGATCTAGATTATCTGAGTCTAGTGATCTCCATGGATTCTTCGGGAGATCGATTCCTTGGAGACACCGATCTTCCCCCGAGGCCCACGCCGCTGCTCAACTACGAGGCGAATGGCGTGGACGAGGACACCTTCAGCTCACTGGCTTTCTACGTGTGGCTCGCCGAAGGGAACAGCGACTCCGGACCTGACTGGACTGACCTGCACTGTGACTGGGTACAGTATAGTGACTGAGTGGTGTGGTGGTGTGTGTGTGTGTGTGTCCTTTTTTTCTGGCATTTTTAAGGTATAGTTGTGCCATGTTGTGCCGGTTTTCAACCAAATGTTGGCGTAGAAGGGTGGGGATCTCCCCAAACCATGCAGCGTGTGCAGAGAACACCTGCGGTCCGCACGTCGGTCCCGCCGCTGAACTGAAGGTATGACCTCAGCTTGGAGCAGCAAGACAAGCTGGCTGTCCATGTGATGCTTTCACATCCATCTGGCCACTCAGCCTGAGCATTTCAAAAAACTCATCATGAGGTGTTGGGCGAAGAGGAAGAGAGCTCTGGAAGCACACCACCTGGAAGAAATGGAACTCTGACACTCGTGGTTTGTCAGACTCATGTCTCCATGATTCGGCAGGCGCTGCGGTCTTCAAGGGAGATGAAAGTGCTGAAGCATTGGCTGCACGCTTTGTCTCAGCTGTGCAAAAGGCAGGTGACCTTTGTTGAAAGAGTTTGCTGGGTTTGTTAGTGGAAGAGTCGGCTTCCGTGTGTTACGCTGAGATGTTGGAGGCCTACCCTGAGAACCCATTCCACAACTTCGGGCATGCCGTTGATGTGCAAGCGGTCATCGTCTCTTGCTCAGCACTTGCAGAAAGCATCTTTAAATCTTCAATTGAGACTTTCATATTCTTAAAGAGACGGAAGAGATGTCAGAACATAGAGATGTCAGCAGAGCACATGTCTGAGGTCAAAACCATGAAGCTTGTGGAAGCTGACTCATTCCTCAGTAACTGAGTTGAATGAATGTCAGACGTTCGTTCTCAGCAGTTCTCAGCAGTTGCTTCGGCTCGCTCCGCTCGGACGGAGCAGGCTGACTCACGTCCACTCGCCGTGTGGCACGTTGGCACGTTTGGGGTTCCTGGACCGGAGCAGCGAACGAGAGCTCAGGTAACCTGGAGCAGTGCGGTTCTCAGTGGTGACCTATTCTGAAGGTTTCTGTGCAAGATCACTGCATCTTGTGCAGAAGGATGCAGAAGGGCTTCTTACTTTCCCCCACTGTATTGACCGGAAACCTCAACAAATCAAGCAGTTCTTGAGCAGCAAGTGATGTTTTCTGGACTTTCCTTTCACGCCACAGGCAAACACCACTTGGTGTGAACTACTTGGTTCCACCTCTTCCAATCGGATCTCTCTGGATCGTTCTCGGCTTCAGCCACCAAGCCACCAGGGCAGCCACCATCGTCCCTCACGTTCCCAGGAGGTTGCCATGCTTTTGTTCCAAAGCTCTAGGGCATTGCAGCGCGGGTACCAATCGGTTCAAGATCTCCGAGACGTTTCGATACACCAGTTCTTTGGGGAGTGCACTCGTCAAAAGTCATGAAGTGATGGTCGGCTCTGAGCATTTGGATTCTCCCTCACCCGACCATCGCAAGCTGATCGGCCTTCTTCGGCGCTGTTCAGAGGTCTCACTGTGGGACGGAACGACTTGGAGGTCTACTAGTAGCAATGGCCTCCACCCCTAATTGCGATGGCCTCCCACCTTCCCACCTAGTAGCTCTAGTTCCTATAGTTAGTATATAGGTGCCTTGTTGCTAGTATACTCTACTTGCAGCGACTATGGAGTGGCATGACATTTCACGACTCTCGGTCTCGGTCTCGTCGAGGTTCTCCCTCCTGGTGGCCGGCTTGGGACATGATATTGGCCACATGGGTCTCAACAACGTGTTCTTGTCCGAGGCAGGTTCGCTCAAGCGATTCGAGGCCAAGAGACCGACAGTTCACCATTGTTCCCGTTCGCGGCAAAGGAGACCGAGACCTTTCAAAAAGAGCTTCCGTTGTTCGGGGTGTTTTTCATAGTGTTAGGAGCTATGGGGGGCATCCTTGAATGAGCTTTCCCGAATGGAAGCAGGGCATTCCGCTTCGATCCAGTGAAGCGGGCTTTGCACACCTCAGTGGGTCATACGTTTCTTGCGTGGACCACCACGACGAACGACGAGGTCACAGAGCTCATCGGGCCTGTCTTTGGGATAGGATTTTCACCATGAAGATGTTGAATTAAGATGTTGTGAACGTATGCTCTATGCTATAGATACATATATACACACAACTGTGCACGAAATGTTGCATGACCAGGTACCTTATCAGGTCCAATAGATCAAAGCCCCCCTCGCTTTTTGGGCCCCACCATGCCCCACCAATGCCGGTGAGGTGGGTCATGAGCTGGCCATCAAGTACAACGACAAGTCGCCCCTGGAGAATATGCCCCTTGGCCGGTCGCGGCGGGCCGGCGCCGGACGCGGTCCAACGAGAGGTTCAGCCGCTCGCGCAGGTGACCGGTTTGTTGCTTCAGTTTAGCTGATTCTTCCACGCAAAAAACACCAATATGTGTTTGTTTCCGGGCCAACGTGATGCGTTTCGCTTTAAAGCCCAAAGATCCCCAAAGGCAAAAAGGACGCGGTCAACATGGACCGGTCGGGGAGACCAACGCATCTACCCAAAAACATGGAGTCGGCCCGTTCGTACCTCGAAAAAAAAGAAGTAAAAAGGTATAGTTTTGCATGGTCATGTCCCATTTTCTAGGATACTTGAAGTCAGGTCCAGGTATACATGCATGATGATAGTACAATGATAACATGATTTTTTAATCATACATTTTGTACATAGATCTGTTTTCTCCACGACGTTTCCTCCCCCCTGGCCCACAGCCCCCCTTTGTCGCTCAATGATTTCGGAGCGTGCGCTCATTTGGCGCTCGCCAGGCATTGCTCGGCTTTATATCAACTTCTGGGCAAACCCGAAACGCAGCTCTTCGCACACCTCAGTGCAGATGACTACAAAGAGGCGAGCGATGGCGATTGATCATTTTTCGTTGGACGGGTTGTTTGTTTGTGTTCTTTTTTTACCTATCGATCTATGAGCATGATTTGTGTGAGGTGTATTCCATGTTCTCGGACCTAAGAGCTTTTGGTTGGTCTGATGATTGCAGGAGGATTCATTCAAACTCACATCTCACATCTAGTTATTTTTTCGTTTTTTGTTGCGTGGAAAAGACAGCGCCAGGCTCGCAGAATATGTGTGGAAGTGATTCTACACACAGACATGATGTGTCGGGGACCTGGGCACCGGTGGTCGAAACACGTGGTGCCGTTCATGCTTGGTGCCGTTCATGATAATTACATGCATGAAGCCTGAGGACTAGAACTGGCAGGTTAGGGAGGCTCCCTCGAACAGTCTATGTATTCAGATTCTTTTCCATGAGGTTGGGTGGGCTTAGTTAGTGGGCCTTATAATACTTATTTTCTTACCCAATCTTGCTCTGAGGCCATCAAAACATGGTCAAGGACCTCAATTTACTCTACCAGATTCACTCTGAGGCCACTGTGTGAAGACACAACACAGCGGAGTGGTGCAGAGATGGAGAGCTTTATGGCAAATGCAAAGCGGCGCTTGCAAGAATGTGTAGAATTGAGCGTCAACCTACATCCCAAAACGACGTGGCGGATTCCCACCAGTCGCGACAGAAGCGCCAGGTGATTCAGCCCGTCCGTGAGACTCGCACCACCGTCCGCAAGTCCAACTGCGCCTCGGACGCGACGTGCGGGGCACGCGAAGCTACCCGGTTCGGCCGTTCCTTCCGAGGTCCACTGGGGTCCTGGTCGTTTCTATCGTCATTTTTGGGAGAAGAGAAACTCGAGACCTGGAGTTGACCTAGCTCTTTTGCTGCATGGTGGACTGGTCGAACATGGTGTTGAACATCCAAAATTCTCCAAATATCAACAGCTCACAGTATCACTGAGCGTTTTGTTCGCCCGGACCATTAATTGATGAAGAACATCTGTCGTCCGTTTGTTTCGACACGATGACGAAGAGACGGTGACGTCCGCAGATGGCGACACATTTTCTCCAGACAATTTAATGTAGTACATTATGATAGTCATATGTTCTCCAACCCAATTTTCAGACACCTATGAATCAATCATTACTCATGTTCATGTTTCAATTTCAAGACCAACAGCTCATCAGCTCACCTAAGGGAAGCGGAAGACGATGCACAATGAAGTGCCCTCAGACCCCATGGCCGTCTTTGCCGCGTCCGGATGCCAAAGGGACGACGAGTTGTGCCCGTGTCTTTTGAATGGAACAAAAAGGGGTATACGTGTATGAGATTCATGATGGGTGTATAGGATGGAACAAAAAGGGGATTCAAGATGTGATTCTATATCTTCCCATGGAATCCTAATCTGGAGATCCATTTTTATTCGTTTCAGTTTTGGTGTCAGATATGCGCGGGCACGTCCACACCGTCACGGCTGGCCGGGTGAGAGTGAGATGACGGGGAGCGGTCCCTTCACGCTTTGGGGAGTGATGATGTTGGGACCAGGTCAAGACTGGTCGAGCGGAAAACGCTGATAGCCGTGAGAAATGCATTGAATGCACATTAGTTCTTTAGGATATAGCGTGTAGATAAGTCGTATGATAGCGTACCTGAATGTGAAGCGAGCCATGCGTTTTCGTGTGGACCACGTCGCTGAGTTCGATTTTTGAAGAGGACGTGGGGGGGGGGTTCAAGGCCAAGCAACTGGACTCAGTCCATGGGTAGCTCATCGGATCAATTGAAGTGGCTTCTTGTCCACCCTGAAGTATGGTGAAGAGAAAGACAATGACTGTATTCTCAGTCATGGTTCTCAGTGATCGGAAGACAAGACACAATAAATTGATGTGCTTGACACTGGTTCCACAATGAACAACCAAACTAATTCTCAAATTTCTTTGCAGAAAACCGAGGCCCGAAAACAAGATGCTGGTGATGGACGCGATCGTGCACTCGGCAGATGTGTCCTGCACTTATGTCCCTGGAGATGCCAGACATGCCAACTTTTGTGCATCCAGATGGTCACCCTGTAGATGGAAGAGTGAGTCCATGTTCAAAGGTTTTGAGTCAAAACTTCTTTTTAAACACAGGACGACATGTTTCAAACACCATCGAACAACGCCTAACAAAAAAAAACTGAAAATCATCTAATTTCTTACACTATAGTGTAGTATACGCGAAGAAACACAAAAATGTCTCGACATGATTCATGATTCTGCGAAGAAAAAAAGCACAAGCCTGTGCCGGTGGGTGTGCCTGAATTTTTTGGTCCATCCCAGGTCAAACCCTGCTCGAGAATGGGCCGTGACACAAGCCTGGGCCGAGCGCTGTCTCGATGAATTCTTCGCGCAGGGCGACCAGGACGACGAACTTCCCATTCGCCCGACGTGATCGCCGGGGGGGGGCGGAATGGACCAAACAGCCTAGGACACCTGATCTGAGGTTCCACCAAACTAGATGCCCTGGCCTTCAAAGACCATGAATAGAATGGTGGACATGGTTGATCGTCTAAAATCATTTGCACAAAGAGGCTGTTTGGTCTCAAACTAAACAAACCCAGACACTCCGTGTGCCATATATGCTTACATTGACCCCCAAAACCACCCCAATGTAGGCATATACATGGAGCGTCTGGGACATGATTGTTGCATCGCACTGGTCGAGTCCAATACGCGAGTCCCAAACGGGCCGTCTGTTAGAAAGCACATACCCTGACCGCGAGGAAAGAGCTGAAGGAGTTCCGGTGCAATTCCTCAACGACCGCGAGAAGCGCGGAGACCGTGGCGCGTGGTGAATGTTGAACCATGTTGAACCATGTTGAACCATGTTGAACCTTTTGCTGTCCAGGCAAATGTGCTTGTGATGAACACTGTAGAAGCTGGCCTTTGTTTCTTGAGGATGGGGATGGATAATTGCAAGTGAAGTAATTATGATTGGAATTGGGGGGAATCCTCCCCGCAGATGAACATGGAACCCCAAAACCACTTTGCACCGGTCAATTGGTTCCATGTGAGTTTGGAGAGTATTGCATGAGATTGCGGGAGAAGGCGGCATTCAACTGTTGCCATCCAACGATCGTCTCGGAACGCCGTTGACACCGGACCTGGTGGTCCCCTTGTCGACCACGGTCGACGGAAGGACAGACGGCGACCTGGACGGACGCCATGGGATTCTTGAGGTTTGACGAACCTGCCTTTGGGTCTTTGGGTTTTTTCTTTTTATTTTGATTCTTGAGGTCTTACTTATGTCATGTCTTTGGGTTTACATTAAACCTGCTGTATTTTTCTTCCCCACTTGGTGCGAGTCGATGTGTGGTCGCAAGTGGCTCCGTTTCGGTCGTGAAGGCGCGCGAACTCGCGTCGGAACGGCAGGTTGAACAGGCCGAATTCTCAGATTGGCTTCATTGAGCTCCTCAGCTGAGAATTCAGCCCATGTGGCTGCGGAGGAAGAAGAGCGGCACCAGAAAGAGAACATATAGGTCTAATTAATGTGTACTGACTGAGAAAGAAAAGAAGGACATCAAGACAGATGGGAAGACATCGTACTCGTAGGTCACCACTGGAATCACTATGCCGCTGTTCTTCAGGTTCATGATCGCCCCGCTCTTCGCGGCGCAGATTTGGTGGCGGACTCGGAATTTAAGGAGTGAGTAAAGAGGTTCGCAAGGAGAGATCATTTCCTTTTGCTGCTTGGGTCTTTGATCAGTTTGATCTCCATGTGTCGGCTTTTGTGTGGGTTGGTCATCTCTGTCTTTTCTCGCTTTTTTTCGTGGGCGATGTCGATGTCTTTCCGAAGCCTTAATACAAGCCGACGCCCAACCAGCCGCGAGGTTGTGGCCGATGTACTGCGAGTTTGGCGATTGTCTCTCAACGAATATTGGCATTTGGGAGGACGGACGGCAGAGAGAGCTTTGCAATGAGGAAAACTGGACTTGATGAACGTAGTAGAGATCTATTTCAGAAGCACGCGCCACTTCTGCGTAGCTCTTAAAACCTCGGTCCTGGCTGCGTCCTTGCCATATTAGTGATAGACGTAATCATACGCTGGTGAAAAATCATGGAATCCCCCACAGCAAGCTGAGAGTCTGGGGGGCATCACATACAGTGAAATATTACACTAGAATGCCTCCATTATCCTGCATTGCAGCAGTTTGTCATAATTAACAGCAGCGATATGTTGTTTTGTTTGCAGGACACAATGGTCCCACGCGATGCATGATGAAACATGGACGCATGATGACGCATGTCATGGTTATAGACATCTGGCCATGCTTCCGCACTGGTTTACTTCGCCTATTACTGCCAGATCTCCTTTCTTCATGGCCCAAGACAGGAGGTTCAAGGCGCCGAGATTGCACGGACGACGCCGATGGTTCCGGATGACGGTCCAGGAGCAGTGGGAAGAGCAGACTTCACCGTCGGAGGAAGAAGCCGAGAAGGCCGTCGGGTGACATTCCGGGTTGGCACAGGTGATGATGTAGATGGTTTGTCTCTCCAATCCTCGCTACAATTCCTCCAAAAATGTGCTGCAGTGCCCAGTGGCACCCCAGGATTGAGTTCGAAATCCCTGCCCCAGTTCGGCATCAACCGATACCAATAAAGAAGGCTTCATCCGATTTGTCAGACTTCTCTTTGCAGGTTCGCCTGCGGGTGCTGGAAGTCCAAGACATGCTTTCTCGTGCATCCTTGCGGATTGCACATTGACGTTAACGACTCGGCCCGCGAACCGCCCGGTCGTCGGCCGCGGTCGTCGGCCGAAGCCGCGCCGGGGCGTTTCCATCGAGCGGGCTTGGAGTGTTTCACCGAGCGTTTCAGCGAGAGTGGTTCAGCGAGCGACCTTTGGCCTTCAAGCTTAATAGCAATGGCCTCCAACGCCTCCGCCCTAAGCCTAGTAGCGATGGTTGTTTTGGAATCGTCCTTTGCGCCGTTGAAAGGAGCCTGAAACATCTGTCGCCTTCGGCAGCGCTGCCGTATGCCGTTGAACACTTGTTTGTGCCTCTCTCGCTTCGATTCCGGGGGGACAAAAACCCTGACGTAGCCACAAAAGGTGGCCTGTTCGTTGTCTACCCATTGGACGTCCCAATCATTCTCGGCTCGACGCGCGTTTGAACCGAATCAAAGGGAGCGATCAGGATTGCAGCATGGCAGCCAGAGCCTGTTTGCCTGGTTGAGGTTGGAGAATGATGACGTGCTATGACGTGCAATCATTGTTTTGCGTTGGATGGCAGCACCCAGAATTCCACATTTGATGCTGCTATGTGGCCACAGCTTTTAATTGCATGAATGATTAATGATATGCATAATTAATATTACGGTCTTCATAAACCTTGGATCGGATGATCGGCATGGATTTAGTGAGGTTCAGACAAAGCATACAAGCTTACCTTCGTCGTTGGATTTGATCATGAAGCAGAAGATAATATCTCGAAATTGTGCATGTCCCAAGCAGCAAAACACCCAGGGATACTCAGGAAGATATGTTTTCTGGTGATTTTGAGACTTGACTTATATTGTATTAAATCATTAATACTACAATTAGTAGCAAGACGTATTGAGTATTGACTAATAAGTGTTTTGCTGTTTTACACATATAGTAGCAAGAAGATACTAGGTGGAGGCACCTTAAAGAAATGTTTCACTATAATTCAAGAGATCAGACTCTTCCTAAGTTTCGACACCCGACTCCAGCTCCTTCCAAACCCTCACCCCAACCCACCTCAAGCCCATCCAGACCCATCCAACCCGAAATGGAGCCAGACCCAACTTCAGATGCTATGCGTTGCTACGCTCTAACTTGCCAGACCTCGGCGCCACATCCTCATGTGACGGCCCACGCGTCATGGCGACCTGGTAACGATGCAACCCGGTACGTATCTTCAGCAGGAGCGTCATGGCAAGGTGCGCGGCCGAGAACGCGTCCGCGGCCGGTTTTGCTCGCGCGCAAGGGGAGAACAGCACGCCGCGTGACTTGGGGAGTTGCGAGTGATACATCTGTGGACCAAGTCCGAAGAACAAAATAGCAGGTATTGGATGGTATTGCGTATCACAGGTTTCATATTCAAGGGATGCATGGCCAAGGCATGGTATGATTTATGATGATTTATGACACATTGGTTTGTCAAACTTGCTGGAGTGCGCAGCTGTTCTGGTGAAACCCTGGTTTCCACCCCATGTGTCCTTCTCTTGACTCTTCGCCGAGTTCAACATATCCTGGAAGGTGACATTGTGCAGACTACGGAAATGTCTTATCGTTTCTTCAGACGCTTCATGATGCTGATTGTTGTTGTTGTTGTTTGTTTGTTTGTTTGTTTGTTTGTTTTGGTTTGTTTTGGTTTGTCTTTGGTTTGTCTTTGGTTTGTGTTTGTGTTGGTGGTTTGTGTTGGTGGTTTGTGTGGGTTGGTTGTGTGGGTTGGTTGGTTGTGTGGGTTGGTTGGTTGTGTGGGTTGGTTGGTTGTGTGGGTTGGTTGGTTGTGTGGGTTGGTTGGTTGTGTGGGTTGGTT